TTTTCAAAAATGGCATTGGCAGATCAAATATAAATAAATGATCTGATTCTTTCTTTGGAATCCGAAATTCCCACTGGTTTTGAAGGTATTATGCAATAAGTGATTATGTTATAACATGGTGATAAGCCTCATCAACAGAAGATGGTAATAACAAACTCAAACACAGAGTTCTCACTTGGAAAATAACCAGTGAAGAGACAGCACTTTGTACGTCAGTATTAATTACAGATTTTATAAAATCTAATGATACATTTGAACAACAAAAACAAAAGGAATTAAACAAGGGCAATGTTCAACAAGTTCTAGAGTCATCAGGAAACCTTTACCAAGGAGATGGAATTTGAGCTAGAGGAGACTGTAGATAAATAAAAACCAAAAATAATTAAAACCTGAAAGTGTACACAACTGATTTTACTACTTGCAACTCTTGAACTCATATATTACTTAAACTTTTCTAAGAGGAATTGCCTCATGATTATCAAGATTATTATTTTATAAAGTGATTATGCTTTATATATATATATATACATACACTATCACCAATTCATTTATTTTGTATAAACATAAGTCCTGAAAGCCAACATGTCTTAAACTAACAGCTCCTATCAACATGCAATAGCATTTGGCATAGCAGTTAAGACACTACTTGTTCACCTACATCCCATACAGTAGTCACTGGGTTCCAGTCCTGGCTCTGCTCCTGATTCCAGCTTCCTACTCTGCATCCTGGGAGGCAGTGGGTGATAACTCAAGAAGTTCAGTCCTGGGGCCAATGTTGTGGTGTAGCAGGAGTCCCGGCCGCTCCATTTCTGATCCAGCTCCCCGCTAATAGGAAGGCAGCTGAGGATAGCCCAGATGCCTGAGCCCCTGCACCCATGTGGGAGACCCAGCTCCTGGCTTCAGCCTGGCCCACCCCTGGCCATTGGAGCCATTTAGGGAGTAGACCAGCAGATGGAGGACCTCTCTCTGTGTGTGTCTCTTCCTATCTCTCTGTGTAACTCTGCCTTTCAAATAAATAAAACAAATCTTTAAAAAAAAATTCAGTTCCGGGGGCAGAAGTGGGTCTGGGTTTGCAATGCCTGACCAGAAGGAGAGAAAAAAAAAAAAAAAATTCAGTCCCTACCACCCACATGGGAGATGTAGATTGAGTTCTGGGCTCCAGCTTTGGCCTGGGCTAGACCTGGCTTTTGCAAGCATTTGGGGAGTAACCCAATTTTTGTCTTGATAAAAAATATTCTCTCTCTCTCTCTGCCTGCTTTTCAAGTAAATAAAATAAATATTAAAAATAAGTAACATGGGCCGGCGCCGTGGCTCACTAGGCTAATCCTCCACCTTGCGGCACTGGCACACTGGGTTCTAGTTTCGGTCGGGGCGCCGGATTCTTTCCCGGTTGCCCCTCTTCCAGGCCAGCTCTCTGCTGTGGCCAAGGAGTGCAGTGGAGGATGGCCCACGTGCTTGGTCCCTGCACCCCATGGGAGACCAGAATAAGTACCTGGCTCCGGCGATCGGAGCAGCACGCCGGCCGCGGCGGCCATTGGAGGGTGAACCAACGGCAAAGGAAGACCTTTCTCTCTGTCTTTCTCTCTCGCTGTCCACTCTGCCTGTCAAAAAATAAAAAAATAAAAATAAGTAACATGGACCAATAATTTGGAATGAATTCATCTTCTCAGTGGCAAATAATATACTCCTTAGGCTAATTATTTTGTTTGTGGGCTCATCATTTTATTCAAACCACTCAGATGAAGGAACCAGTAGTCCCAACTCTGGGCACTATAGTGTCAACACATTTAGACGGCTCTTCTTTTCCCATTGCAGCTTCCCTAAAAGTTTGAAAATCCCATATTTTTCCCTGGTGCAAATTAAAAACCAAACCAGGAATAGTCAATCACTTTTCCCCCTCTGCAGCGCTTTTTCCTTCTCACCCTCCATATATTCCTTGCTTTTCCCTCCCTTTCCTTGCAGTAGTGCCAGGAATAATTCAGAGGCAAGACAATCTGCTTGCCTCCTGCAAGAAGAGAACATTGTCCACATGCAGGCTGGGCGCCATTACCCTTCTTCCTTGAATGTTTCCTTTGTTTCATCTACAGCAGGAGATACCACTGATTTCTCAAATGACTTCTCCATAATAAAAAAAAGTTACAATTTGTCCTTCTAACCTAGTTTATATTCATTCTCATTCTTTTAATTTAAGAAATTATATATTTTTGAAAGGTCTATTTGTTTTGAATTAGCTGTTAGACTCTACCAATTAACCACATGAGTTTGTTTTAAACATTTGATAGTTTTGTACCTTATTATACACTTTCCTTGAGTTTCTCCAAAAATCTTAAAGTTGTTTTTTGTTTAAATAGCGTCAGAACATCTTGTGGAGTATTAACCCTTAAGGTTAGACCTTCCAACTTTCCCACATGTTTGGTGTTTGATTCTCTCCTTTCATATGTTCCTGACTTATCACTGACTGAAGCACAGTGATTGCAGGGGAAGTAGTAGATGTCAGGCTAGGGAATGCACGGCTGCCATATCCAGTGTTTGGGTTGCACAAGAGCTGGGTCATAGGAAGAAAGGGAGCTGGAGTCTCACCTGCGCTCTGTTCACCGAGGTCTGCACCTGGCATGAGACCGGTTTCCATCTAAAGAAGGAGTGCTTTGTCAGTTCACACAAGGGCACATCATGTACAGGAGTTTTTATTTTATATGAATGCATTGAGAAACTATTAAGAACAAAATAATCTAGTTATATTGTGTAAAGAATACTGTGCTGTGTATAGCACAGATTGGAGAGAAGCCAGAGTAGCAAAAGGAGGTGGGTCAGGAAGTGACAGTGGCCAGGACTAGGGTTGTGGAAGATATAGACAAATGGATAGAGTCAAGTCATCTTTGGTTGGGTGTGGAGGGTAAGGTGTGACTGATAATGCTTTAGTTACTGACTGAAGTGACTAGATGGATGGTGGTGGTGCTGTATCCTGATATGGGGAGAAGCTTGGAGAAAAATTGGCTTGGGAAGAGGGCATTATATTGAGATTTCTGAACCATACAGGTTATTGGAGACACCTGTGGGTTGTCTAAATGGCTACCAGGAGGCAAGTGGATGTAAGTACCTTATATTCAGAACAGTGTCTATTCTTTTTTATTTGTTTGTTTTTTGTTTAGATTTATTTATTTTCTTGAGAGGCAGAGTTACAGATAGAGAGGTCTTCCATGCTGTGGTTCACTCCCCAAATGGCTGCAGAGGCCAGAGCCGAGCTGATCTGAAGACAGGAGCTAGGAGCTCCTTCTTTGTCTCCCATGCAGGTATAGCAGCTCAAGAACCTGGGCCATCTTCCACTGCTTTCCCAGGCCATCAGCAGGGATGCAGGATCAGAAGTGGAGCAGCCAGGACTCAAACCGCACCCCTATAGGATGCTGGCACCTACAGTGCCACAGAGCTGGCCCCTGTTCTTTTTTCTGACTGCTTCAAATACTCTCTGTGTCTTTAGAGTCTGAGAACAGCTCATCTGAATAATTCTACAATGTTCATAAAAGATCCTTAGTCATCTTTCACCCAAACAATTCAAAAATTTATTTTGAGAGAGCCAGAATAACTTCTTGCATTGAGACTAAACATAATTACTTAGCCTTGGGACAAATGTTCAGTCCTCTCCCAGATGCAAAAAGAATTTAATTGACTCCACACTGGGGCTGATCATCTGTCTGCCTTTTATTTAATTTAAAAGGCTTGGTGCAAACTTTCTTACCAAACGTTCTATGTCCTGATACCCTGGTTTCAGTTTTTCCTTGAGAAACTCAAGTGGCATGGTTCCTTCTTTTAATGACCAGGATCACACATTTGGTCAGTCGGAGAAAGGGGGAGAGATAAATGTCCCAATTTACCTGGCACTTACCCCCACCTTGGGCATAATGCAAACTAGAACCTGCCTATCCCTGGTATCCCTTCTCTTGTCCTAGGAGTGAGTGACGCCAGCACTCATAGTTTTGTTCTCTCTCTTGCTCCTGCAGCAGAGCCAAAATCAATGGGCAAAAACCATATGGAGGGAGATGTTGGCTTAACTGAAGGCAACACTGCCTAAGGCTTAGTGCTGAGAATGGGAGCGCCTGCTGGGGAAGGAGTGAGTTATGGTTTCTGGAGGTGTGAGGCACACCGCAGTCATTTGCTATGGATTCTGTGGGGAACACAGAAGGGCTGGAGCGTGAAAGTAGCCCCCACTGACTGTTGAGTTCCTGCGTGTGCTAGAGCTTTACACAAATGCCCCAGCTCATTTAATCCACATGATGACCCTCAAGGGAACCAGTCATAACCCCACCAGGGGAGGTTACTGCCACAAACTTGAGATCACACAGCTAGCAAGCGACAGGGCCAAAATTTAGAGCCAGGATTTAAACTCAACTCCACCTGAATCCAAAGTCCTTGTTTATTCTTTTCACAGTTCACGGAAGCTTGAAAGACTAAACTAGGAGGTTTCTAAGTTCCCTTCTAGCATTGTGATTCTAAGTCAAAACATGGATACAGGAGACACTATGTTTTCCTTGAGTCATCGTCCCAGCCTCCATCACATTCAAATGATTATCTGTGAATCCAATACATTCTACGACCTCCATCAAGAAACAGTCACTTGAAAAATCATCATTGTATCTTGTAGCCCCTCTGAATTTTCACCTGAACATAATATAAACGCCTCAAGAACTGTAGGATTTTTTTTTCCTTTATAGTCTGCTGGGAAGGACTGAGTTTACAATATAAATGACTAAGCTTTTAGTCATTTAAGTAGAAATGACTACTTTAGTACTTCTGAAAACTGTCACATACATAGAAGGTCTTAGAAAGTCTTGGACTGTTTAGCTCAAGGTTAATTCTAAGTCAGAATTTTTTAATACTAGAATTTTTAAGATAGTTTAATTAAAAATTTAATGTTACAATTATAACACATTAGAGTCTGAAAATAAAATCAATGTACTTATTTTAAGGTAAAATGATTTAATAGTGTGTTAAATACTGTTTTCCAGATTGAAGCTGAACTTGCCAAGGAAAGAGCCCGACATTTAATTGAATTTGAGGAACAAGCTCTTCTCTTTAAGGAAGAAGCGAAACTGGAACTTGATATTGAAAAAGAAAAGCACCAAGAAATAATCCAGAAGTACAAGAAAGAACAAGAAGAACTACAAACGAAGGTCTATAATTATGCTGTTCGTCATCATTTATATATGTTTGAAACTGCAAATACTGGATATTTCCTCCTAAGAACACTACAGTCTTTATAACTTTGGTAGCTTTCTTCGCAGTCACCATGCCTTGATTTTAGCCACACAAGTAAAATGATGTGGCTGGTCTCCAGAGTGGATAACTGAAATAAGTTGTACAAGTGTACAAACCAGATATGAATGGATTTTTTTCTACTAGAATAAACTTATTTTTAAAACAGCGTAAAATCTATGATCAATAATTAGCATGGCTGGATAGTCCAACATTGCAAATATCCAACATCAAGACAGGTATTTTACATAATTAAAAATGTCTCAATAACTAAAACATATCCTTTTTAACTGCAGATATTTTCAGTTCTATACGGCTTTGAAAGAAGAGGGAAATTTTTATTTTTTTTATTTGAAAGACAGATTCCACCCACTAATTCACTACCTAAATGCCCACCATACCCAAGAGCAAACATTCAGTCTCCCAAGTGGGTGGCAGGGACCCAAGTACTTGAGCCATGGTCTTGCTGCTTCCCAGCAGGAAGGTGGCTCAGAAGTGAAGTCTCCAGGACTTGTCCCTGGCACTGGGATGTGAGCGTGTTATGTCACAAGGACCTCCCCTAGGGAAATATTTTTAGGTGTAATCATACCTCCCTAATTTCTTAAATAGAGTTCCTCAAATATAATTTAAGTTTTTCTTAAAGTTCTCCTATTTTTACAGGACTTAAATTGTATGTGTATATATTAATCAACACTCAGTGGAGAAATCATATTTTGAATAAACTTATTAAGAGCCCATGTTAATTAAGCAGCAGATGAGACCTAATAGTCTCTGTATTTGTGTAAAGGAGATATGGCACAATCATTTCAAGAGTTCATTATGAATAGCACACAACCAGCTAGTTGGATGTATGACCATAGCAGGACCATGGGGCCCCACTCTCAAAAAGGCCTTGTGCTTTGTATTTAATGCTCTTCAGATGCTACCTTGAAATTATTAATAGTTTCATCTCTGCATTTGTGTTATGTGAGTTCCTAGCAGGACAATGAAGCATGTGTGGTGAGCTTGGAGCCCCCATTCATCTGAGGTTCTCCCTCCCCTAGACTGGTTCTCACCTCTCACTTCCTGGCCCTTGGCACCCCAGGCTCTGCTGAGTCTCCCTGTGGGGAGCAATCCGGACTAGACTGAGTTACTCGAATTAGGACTTATTCTATGCATCTGCTCTCCCACAATATGGCGCTGGGAGAGAAGTAAACAGCTTTCGCACAGCTGCCTCCAGTTCAACCAATTAACTGTAGGACTTGCTCCTGATTGGAGAAGAGCAGCGTACTCGGCGTGTGGGCAGCCGAGTTGGGATTGGCGGAGGAGGACTATAAAGGAGGAGAGAGACGGCATGCACCAGGAACATCTATGGGGAACATCTAAGGGAACCCGTGCAGCCCCCGAGAGAACCGGCCGGCGGTGTGCCGCTCCCCTGCGGAAGTGGGGAATGTGGCCAGGGGGAACTGCCCTTCCACGGAGGTGGAGGGGATGGTGGCCAGCCCGGGAGGAGCCAGCGGCGGGCCCGGGGAGGGCCGAGCAGACGAGGGAGCAGCGCAGGGTCCTGTGTTGCTCCTCCACGAAGAGGGGGAGCGACACTCCCTTCACCTTTGACTCCTGTTGCAGCCCTGGGTGGCTCAGGAACCCATCAGCAGAGGAATGCAGACAACAAGCTTGAACTTGCCAGATGTTAAGAGTTTCTCAAGAGAAGTCCTTAGTCCTAATTTTGTTAAATGAAATCTCCTGATTTTTAAATGTTGACTCCATTTATTAAAAACAAAACATATGTGTGGCTGTGTGAGCCTTTTCTTCCAAGACTGCCTTGCTCTGTTTGAGTGTCAGCTCTCCTCTGGGTGATGGAAACCACCATTCAGACTTAGCAGTGACCCCCTTCCCTCCTGAACTAATGGAAGGTAGCAGAATGTTAATTCATAAAATTACTATTTGTGGTGAATATATTTATTGCAAAAGCTATTCCATATGTAAATTAACATTTGAAACAAATTTTGGATACACAACCCTTTAAATAATTGTTCACAACATCCTGGGGACTTTGGTCTATGAATGTTTTCCAGATTTTTTTGTGGGTTAGCTTCTTGTTGTGCTAATATTTATAATATGACAATATCAGTAGTGTGAGTAATAAGGATACGTTTCATCAGAAGCAGCTCTGCTCTTCTTTTGTTTTCTGTTGTTTTGTTTAAGAAAAAAAGAAAACAGTCTTTTCCCTTATAAAGACCTCATGTGATGAGGAAGAGCTACTCCAAATTATTTTCTAATTTAATTATATAGAAGGACCACCTTCAGAGGCAGTATATTTTCTAAGTATTCTAGTATTCTCAAGAACTGTATTGTCCATTATGGTAGCCACATGTGACTACTTATATGTCCATTGAGTTTATTAAAATTAAATGAAATTTAAAATTCATTTTTTAACCATACTAGCTATATTTCAAGTAGCCAATACTGGCTTTTGAGAGCTGTTATTTATATCTCTTCCCAACTTACTGATCAGTGAGATCACATTTATACCACAGAAATCAGATACAGACTTGGGATTTTTTTTTTTTTTTTGAGAGTCAGTTGTTAAACATTTGCCAGCATATCACTGTCACTAGCCTCATATTGCTAGTGTCCATCATTACTGAATTGCACAGAATATTTTTATCATCAAAGAAAGTTTCTGTTGGGCACTGCTACTCTAGAATGCACAGTTCCAGTGTATATAAGAAAGAAAAAACAATCTTGTTGAAGGAAAGCATGTTGGTATGGCATAAGTAGAGTATAACTGTGATGTTCTCTCTGCATCTCCAAGCATCAGGTATTTTGAGGTTCCTAAAACTCCCTAGTTAGGCACAGACAGGCCCCTGATTTGCTTGTCAAGACTTGAGATGTCCTTAGTAGCTCACATACAGTCACAGAGATGTATCTATCTTCAAGTGTACCCAAGTGAATAATGTGAGACCTTGTTAGATGGAAAAATAAAAGTTTGTCTTAACTTTCAAAATCTTGAAGGCCCACACATCAGAGGATTTGTTTTCATCTGATTACAGGGTACACTGATTAATTAGAATAAACCTCTTAAAAACCATAGGAACTCTGTGGTTACCTAGAGACTGTTGTCTACAAACTAATGAGAGATTTATCTTACAGATATCTGACTTAATCGCAGGCGCTACAAGGGATCTAAGGCTAGAAGTGACCAATCTTGAAGAAAAACTCCATGAATCCCATATCCGATACGCTACAGAATCTGAATCAAAGGCAAAAGAAATTGAAAACCTTAAAAGTTTGGTTGCAGAATTTGAGTCTCGCTTGAAGAAGGAAGTTGACAGTAATGATTCACTTTCAGAAGACTTACGGAAGGAAATGCAACAGAAGTCAGATGAACTGGAAAAAGTAATGCTGGCACAGACACAACTGATGCAGCAGTTTAACCAGTCCCAGGAAGAGGTAGGGAGCAGATGATGATAGCTTTGCAATTATGGAAAGAGCACATGCTTTCTAAGCAAATAAAAACATGAATAGTAGCTTGATGTCATGGAAGAGTCCTGGACCTGGGACCATATCCTGGCTCTGTCCTTGCCAAGACTCACCTAACCTCTCTGGACATGAGCTGCTTAATGTCTGAAGTGCCCTCAGCTCCCAGTTCTTTTGCAAATGACTACTTATATCCCACAAGACTAGGAATGTTTATTTATTATGTCTCGTTCTATGTCTTTGCCAAAGAAACTTTGAGAACATTTACTGCTTAGGTTTAAAAAAATGTGGACAATGTATTTTAAATAAATTTTACTTTAGGGTTTTACTTTCTGTCAACCTAAACTTACAAGGTGAATGATTATTTCAACAATATTTTTATTTAAACTGGAGTAGGCTTATTTTGACTTGAAAACTGTTTTCTAATGAAACATCATGTCACATTATAATATTTGATCCCATTTATTACAGGATAGCAAATCAAGGCAAATTCTGAATGTTAGGAAGAAATCATATCTTTGTTGGTTTTATTGGCATCTTTTTTAAAAAGATTCATATTATTTATTTGAAAGGCTGAGTTAGAGAGAGGGGGAGAGAGAGAGAGAGAGACGGAAGGGAGGGGGAAAGAGAGAGTGCTTGGGCCCTGCACCTACATGGGAGACCAGGAGGAAGCACCTGGCTCCTGACTTTGGATCAGCGCAGTGCGCCGGCTGCAGCACCGGCTGCAGCGGCCACTGAGGGGTGAACCAATGGAAAAGGAAGACCTTTCTCTTGTTCTCTCTCTCACTGTCCACTCTGCCTGTCAAAAAAAAAAAAGAATATTATATTCTTGCTACATTTAAATTATCATTCAAAATAGAAAGTTTATATAATTATTATAGGTAGGAAGTACACTTACTGCAATGAATTATAAATATAAACTATGGCATGGACAAAATACTGGATCAATAATAGTACTTAAGTGTCCAGTGTTGTGGCACAACAGGTTAAACTGCCACTTGCAATGCCAGAATGCTGACTCCAGTCCTGGCTGTTCTGCTTCTGATCCAGCTCCCTGCTAATGCACCTGGGAAAGTAGCAGAAGATGGCCCAAGAACTTGGGCCTCTGCCACCCATGTGGAAGACCCGTGTGGAATTCCTAGCTCCTGGCTTTAGCCTGGCCCAGCCCTGGCTATTGGAGCCATTTGAGAAGTGAGCCATCAGGTGGAAGACTTTCCCTCCCTCCTGCTCTGCCTTTCTTTATTTGAAAGAGTTACAGAGAGAGAGTTCTTCCATCCACTGGTTCACTCCACAAATGGCAGCAACAACCAGAACTGGGCCAATCTGAATCCAGGAGCCAGGAGCTTTTTCTGGGTCTCCCATGTGGGTGCAGGGGGTGCAAGCACTTGGACCATCTTCTACTGCTTTCCCAGGCCATAACAGAGAGCTGGATAGAAAGTGGAGCAGCCAGGACTCAAAATGGCACCCTGTGGTATACCGGCACTGCCGGGTGGGGGGGCAGCTTTACCCACTATACCACAGCGCCAACCCCCAAATAATAAATAAATTTTTTTAAATAATAATCCCTGGATCTGGGGTTGTGATAGAGCAGGCAAAGCCACACCTGTAACACCAGCTTCCCATAATGGCAAGTTTGTGTCCTAGTTGTTCCACTTCCAATCCAGCTCCCTACTAATGGTCTGAGAAAAGCAGTGAAGGATGGCCCAAGTGCTTGGGCCCCTGCCACCCATGTGAGATACCTATTTGAAACTCTTGGATCCTGGTTTCAGCCTGGCCCAGCCCTAGCCATTGTGGCCATCTTGAGAGTGAATCAGCAGATGGAAGATCTCTTTCTTTCTGACTCTCCCTTTCTCTCTGTAACTCTGACTTTCAAATAAATAAATAAGTCTTTTAAAATAATGGTAATAATACCTAAGACAACCCTTATAAAAAATAAAAAGTATATATGTGTTACAGACAAGGGACTGATTGAAGAAGGTGAAATAATTTCCGTAAGGTCATACAGCTTGGTAGAACCAGGATTCAAATTGAATTTCCAAAAATGAAATATAATGTTTCCTCTTTCAGGAAACCTGAGTTCTAGAGATTTTGCCTTTAAGTTTCAAGATGACCTCATGATTAGCACTCAGCATCTCCAGGCCTCAACAAGAAGCAAGCAAGCAAACAAAAAACAAAACCAAATAAGCACAGTACTTACCCTGCCAGATGGCTAAGGAGTCAAATGATTGAGCGTCTCATGTTGGAGCATAGTGGCACAGGCTCCAACAATAAGGGAGCCACATCAGCAGTCCAGACAAGGGTAGGGTGGAAGAGCACACTGACTCAACTCCACTGGAGAAACCCTGAGGGAGAGAGAGATGAGACAGCAGTGTTGAAGTTCTAAAGGAGGGACAGCAGTTCAAGGAGAGAAAGGTCAAGGCAGCTAGACTCTGGACCAGCTGGTCTAAATGCTGAAATGTAGGTAAAAAAGAAAGTGAGAGATAATTTCATTTTTTAAAGTTTATTTAATTTATTTATTTATTTATTGAAAGGCAGAGTTACAGAGAGAGGGAAAGACACAGAGAGAGGTCTTCCAAATGGCCACAACAGCTGGGACTAGGCCAGGCCAAGTCAGGAGCCAGGAGTTTCTTCCAGGTTTCCCACATGGGTATAAAGGCCCAAGCACCTGGGCCATCCTCTGCTGCTTTCTCAGGCAAACCAGCAGAGAGTTGAATTGGAAGTGGGGAAGCCAGGACCTGAACTGGTACCCAAATGCAACACTGGTGCTGTAGGCCATGGCTTAACCCATTGCACCACAGCATCAGCTCTGAGAGAGAACTTCTAAACTAGGATGAGTAGAAAAAAGAAAAACTGGGTCTGGCACTGTGGTGTAGTGGGTAAAGCCACTAGCCTGCATTGTTGGCATCCCATATGGGCACTGGTTCTAGTCTCGGCTGCTCCACTTCCAATCCAGCTCTCTGCTATGGCCTGGGAAAGCAGTAGAAGATGGCCCAACTCCTTAGGCCCCTGCATCCGTGTGGGAGACCTGGAAGAAGCTCCTGGCTCCTGGCTTTGGATCAGCACAGCTCCGGCCGTTGAGGCCAAATGGAGAGTGAACCAGTAGATGGAGGACCTCTCTCTCTCTTTCTCTGCCTCTCCTCTCTCTCTGTAATTCTGACTTTCAAATAAATAAATAAATCTTTAAGAAAAAATGTTAGCATCTATCTCGGTGCCAGGCACTGTGCTTGGTGTAGGCTCTGGTGGTGTGATTATAAACAGACTGACAACTGCTACTTCTGCTTTCAGAGAAGAATTTATTTTTGAGAAGCAGAGAGAGAAAGAGAGCAAGCTCCCACCTGCTGGTTCTCAAATGCCCTCAACAGCCAAGGTTGGACCAAACTGAGGGAAGCTGGTAGCTGGTGGACTCAACTCTAGTTTCCACGTGGGTGGCAGAGACCCAATTGCTTGAGCCATCATTGCTGCCTCTCAGGGTTTTCATTAGCAGGAAACTCGAGTCAGGAGCCAGAACCAGCTATTGAACCCCGATACTCTGATTTGGCGCATGGGCATCTTAACTGCTAGGCCAGATACCTGCCCCCAAAGAGGATTCTAAATAAACCTTGCACAGGCAATTAAATTAACATCCAGGGGGAAAGAAAGACCTAAACAGAAATGTAATATATAAAAAGCATGAATGAAAAGCTAGGAAATTTGCCTTTAAAGTGCCTATATGAATTATCTATTGCCATGCAACAGTTCACCGCAAATTCAGTGGCTTCAAACAACAAATATTTATTATCTCACAGCTCTTCTGGGTGAGGAATCAGTGTGGCTTAGCTGGTTGCCCCTGGCTCACAATCTCACAAGGTGGGTATCTCATCGTTCACCATGGCTACAGTCTCATCCAGAGGCTCCTCCAGCAGAGGCTGGCTTCCAGGCTCTCTTATGTGGTGCTGAAAGGAATTGTTTCCACAAAGGCTATAGGACTGAGTCTCTGGCTTGGCCAGAGGCCTCCCTCAGTTCCTTGCCACATGGCTCTCTCCACAGAACAGCTCACAGTGTGACCACTGACTCCCGCTGGGGCCAGCAAGGGAGTGAGATTGAAAGAGAGCATGCCGAGACAGAAGCCACACTTTGTAACTTCATCTTAGAAGTAGCCTCTCATTGCCTCTGCTGGCTTCTGCTCATCGCTCAAGGTGAAATGATTGCACAGCGTGTGACTGTCAGAAGGGTGGGGAATCACTGAGGGTCACTTCAAAGGCTCCAGTCACTAGACCTCTGGAGGTGATTTTAGCAAGAGGCACTAGGCCAAAAGTGAAGAGTGGATTTCTTGTTGAGACGAGACATTGTTCACAACAAGAAGTCGTTCACAACTAATGAGCACAAAGCTCCTTCTGCTTGTTAGCTGTAAGAGGAAACTGCTTAGAAGTGAAGTTCTATTTTTTAAATGTGGACTTCTTAAAGATATCAATATCTGGTACCATTTTATTTTACTGATATATAAATAATCATGAATCATTTCTAGAAGGTGAAATGGATCTTCTCAAAAACAAAAACGAAGGATATGTTTTGGGGGGTGATTTCCATTAGTGGGGAGAGAGTAAGCTAGATTTTCCATTAGAAGCTACCAAAGTCTCACTTCTTAGTTACATAATTAGAGCTGAACTGTAAGAGTAAATAATTAAGGCTACTTCGCTGGCTAAGCATGCCAAAGTCCAGAATATGCTTATAAAAATAGGAAATGAGCCAATAAAAGTGATAGGTTTTATGAGCCAGAAAAAATCGAAACTATAATCTGTAAGTAAAAAGCACTAAATTTTTGATCATGCATTCCAGACACTTGAAATTTCTCGAGTTCTGGAGAAGGAAAGCTGCATTTAAGTGGAGAACAAATTCCCAACAGAATAGAGATAAATTAATGGTCTAATAAGGAGGTTAATTAAGGGAAGGAAAGTCCTGTTCCTTTCAAGACGCCAAAAAGTGGGTAGACTTTG